ACATAATAAATATTATTTAAAAAACACATTGTAAAAAGGAAAAAGGAAACACAAAGGACCACGGAGATTTACACCCAACATTAGAAGTGAGGAACGACTGGTCTTCCAGATGTTGGTGATGGGGAAAAAAATAAAATAAAATAAAATATTAAAATAACATGTAATTTGGTTCTAGCATAGGAACAGACAGATATGCAGTGCATCAGAATAGAAAACTGTGCAATGGACCCAAGTTTATCAAAGGGTTTAACTTTTCACATTGGTAGTAAAAGGTCATTCAGCAAATAGTGTTGGAAAAACTGTCTAAACACTTGGAGAAAAAAAAGATTCACCTTGGCCTTAAACCATATATCAGAATACATTCTAGAAGAAACAATGATCTATGTGTAAGAAAAATTACAGAAAATACTATAAGTAAAGGTAGTCATAATAAGAACAGTAACAGCTCAATTATAATTATGAATACTGGTACTAAATATCTGAATAAATGCAGGAATAGAATTTAGTTCTACATTAAAAATAATATATTACAACCAAGTATCAACATAAATGCAAGAATGATCCAATATCAAAAATCCTTTTAATGCATTTCACTGTATTAGTAGGTTAAAGAAAAAAATATGATCACTTCAATAGATGCCAAAATGCATTGGATTAAATTTAATATCTATTCCTGATTTATTTTAAAGCGTTGGACTTCATTGTCATGATCTCATTTCCAACAATGATACAGTTAAAGTGTTTCAATTAAGGTCAGGAGAAGACATCTAGGGAGTTTTTAGGGAATTATATGCAGCAATTAACACTGAAATAATTAGTTCTAACAGTACTTAAATTAACATTATATTCTTTATTATGCTAGTGGAGAAACCTGAAAATTTTGTTATAATTTGTCAGTTGCTTTGCAAACTGATGAAGCTAAGAAATCTGTAAAGAGCAACATGATGTATCACAAAGCACATGAGCTGGACCAAATCCAGAATCCAGAATCCAGAATCAGAATACTAGTTCTGCCATTTTTTGTTATTTGACCACAGCAAGTTGTCTAAACTCTCTAAATCTCAGTGTCTTTACCTGTAAAATTAAGGTACCTGCAGGTCAGATGGAGTAAACCAGCCACTGGCTATCTCTCCTGCTGATTGTAACAAAAATCTGAACCAAATGAAAAAGCAAACACAGGAGGACTTAGAAAAGTAAACAAAGCAGGTAGATTGAGGAAGTAAGTTAAAAACTGGAGAAACGACCCTCACAAAGATAAATTTGTTTTCACTTTTCTCTCATGTCTTTAACCTGAGTGGAGGGTTTCAGTATATGGCAGCAGCCTGGGATGTTACCTGAAAAGGTCAGAATGCCCCTGTGTTTCTGGCCTCTGATGAAAGGCGATGCTGTGGTTCAAAGAATGTGGAGGAAATCTCCATTTTTACTTCTCTTGTATTACTCCTGGCTTTGTCCCAAGGGTGGCCTTAGTACAGAACTACATGCACAAATGTGGTGCCAAAACTCCAGGAGGAACCCCATTTTCCTTGCTAGAAGACTTGGAAATAGGGGCCTCACTAGGTAAGGCAGTGTTGGGGAGCCCTGGAGAGGAGACTGCTAGAGAAGGGGATCCCTTTAATTCTGTGTGTGAAGCTATATAAGTCCCAGGTTCATTTCCGAGCTGCACATGTGGAGGAAAGTCCCAATGCAGTTTGGTAAAGCCTTTGAACATGAAACAGACAAACAAAAACGGCCCACCACCCACAGAAGTAGTGACGGAACTTGTGATCTGAACCTAGCCAGGGTGATTTCTTACTAAAGCAGACAAAAAAAAAATCAACACTTACCAGAGGATTTGAATATGACTCAGAGTCTAAAAAACATAGTAGTACAAATTTCTAGGATATAATCTAAAATTACTCGACATACGAAGCACCTAGAATATGTGACCAATTCTTAAGAGAGAAGACAATTAAGATGGCAATCCTGAGCTGTTGGTACTAATAAACTAAGCAGTTATAATGACTATGTTGCATGAGGTAAATATAACACTTGAAGTAACTAGAAATTTAAAGTTCTCAGCAGAGAAATAAAAAATTTAAACAGAACCAAAAGCATTTTAGGACTGAAAAACACAGTATCTACAGTAAAAAAATGAATGAAGATGACAGAGGAGAGAGTCAGTGAACACAAAGACAGAGCAAGAGAAATGAAGAACAGAAAGAAGAAAGATTGCAGAGGAAGTGAACAGGGACGTGTGGAATAATATCAAAGGTCTAACATTTGTGCCACTGGAGTCCCAGAAAGAGAGGAGAAAATGACTAGTGCAGAAAAAAATATACCTGCAAGTGCCCCAAATTTGGTGAAAGACGTAAATCTATGGATTCAAGAAGCTCAGCAAAGCCAAAATAGGATAAAGTCACACAAAACCACACCCACACACATCATGATCAGACTGCGGAGAATTAAAGGTAAAAATAGATCTTGAAAGCAGTTAGTGAAATATGGCATATTACATACAAAGCAATGAATCAAATGACCATAGAGACCACATTAGAACCTGCAGTAACAATGGTTATACAGGAACAAATAAAAAATAATACATAAAGTGCTTAGGAGATAAAAGACACAAATGATAGTTATGTTTCTAATAGTAAATCTATATTTTGGCACATCATATTTATATTCCTCTCTATTTCTTCACCCTTCCCCCAGTTTTCCCTATTTGATTTGATCCCAAGAATTGGATGCAAATATACCTTTGATATTATTTCCTTTGATTTACCTCAAACCTTTTGCTTTTGTTGAAATGAGAGTCTCTGCTAACTCATGTCTTATTCTTAACAAGGTTTAAAAACTCTGAGTATTTCCTCAGTTATTACATATAATAATGCATCTTTTACTGTCATATAGGAATATTGTGAAGATCAAATGAGATATAGAGAAAAATATACAAATTCCTGTGACTAACTAAAACACTGAAAATCATATATTACAGAAACAGCACCAGCTTGAAAGTTCTGAAAGCCTCATTATTTTAGTCAATCTCATGAGAAAGAATTTGAAGGCAAGATGGCTTGCCCACATTTGCACGCAGACTGATAAGGTTGGGGACATTTCAGTAAACCATGTCATGCTTTGTTAGCTGACCCACAGGTTAGGCCAAGCTGTCACCAAGGGAAACCCTTACAGCCTTTAGGAAGGCATTTCTGGCTGTCGTCGGCTACATCATCAGCCTTTAAATATGAAATGCTGATTCCAGCAAACAGGAGATTCTAACCTCTGTCTTCTTCTTGGCACAGGAACTAGGAGCAGTGGTAAGGCACAAAAAATTAGATTAAATGTAGGATTCTGATGAGTAGTTTGAACAAGCATAACCCAAGTGGTTCTGAAAATCTAGGCATTCCACTAGTGTTTACAAGGGAGTGGGTAGGGAGGGGGGAAGTGGTGGTGGAAAAACAGAGACAACTGTACTTGAACAACAATAAAAAGAAAAAGAAAAAAATTGTCAGATGTAAAAAAAAATTTTGTGACCCTCTCTCTCTCCACCCTCCCCTACTTCCCAGAGTCTGTGAGCACACAAAATATCCACAAGGGATGTGATGTGTGAACTTGGTCTCTTGGCCAAACTCTTAGGCATGGAGTGAGTGGCGTCATCATGAAGCAGCCTTGAGTTGTAAGAAGATGTGAAGAATGGGTGAGAGGGAAGTTTTCTCTGAAAGGCAGACATCTTTGCATAAAGGATGCCATCATTCAAAGGCTGAGAAAGATTAGGAGTCTTGAATACAGCACACAGACTATAGAGACACTTTCTTGGAGCTTCTTAAACTCCTTGGCCAATATTTTTAAAAAAGGTCACATAGATTTCTTGGGGTTTATGATTCTGTTTATTAACATAAAGCAGCAAAATAGAGTGGGAAAATGTGTGGCCCATGTGTAGGGTGGGTTCTGCTTGGCATCCTCAGGAACACGATATGGCCTCAGTTTCTCCTTCAGTTAATAAGGAATAAGAAACTCCTGGTTTTAAAGTGTGGTCTCTGCACATCTCAAATGGCATGCATGCATATAATAGATACTGCTGAAAGAGGGACAGGGTTTGAAACTAGCTAGATGGTACAGACTACTCTTTTTATTACAGATGGGAAACAAAGACCTGGAGGAAAAGGGGGACTAGCCCTGAGCTTCTGCATCAGTACAAAATCCATCTTGTTAGTCCCTTTTCAGTTTTAGAAGAATGTTATAGAAAAAATTCTCCCTGTCCTCCCTAGACTTACCTTCCCCCTCTCTTTTTACCAACATGTCCCTACATGATTCGCACATGTGTCCCCCATGGTGCTTTTCTCCTGGGAACCATATGGCTTTTTAAAAAGTAGGCAGTGTCCTTACCTCAAAACTGTCATCTCCACTCTCAGTATATCATCCTAACTATGAATAAATGACAGTGTCTCTGTTATTGCTAGTTTTCATCTGTAGGTAGGAAAATCCAAAACAGTATTTTTGTTAAGCTAGGTTTAACAAATCCTTTTATGTCAACAACATTTTTCTGCACCTGATTCAAATTTCTTTTTATTTTGTAGTATCACAAACCCTCTCTTTCTGTTCCCTGCTTAGTAATTATGTATGACAATATTTCAAGCTCTTATTTCTCTCACAATGTGATTATATGTATGAAACCTTGACCCACCAAATGAATCTAATTAAATAAAAGAAAATACAGTCCCCCAAGAATTTGGTTTGCTAACATTTTGCTCCAATTTAGCAGACCAAGTTACCAATCAAATGTAAGATTTACCTTAATGTGATTTAGTCACTTATAAAATTTCACCAACATCAGGAAATTCTATCAAAATCATTGCAGAGTAAATTAGCAGATGGGTCAATGTGCAAGGTTCAAGGCTTGAGTGAAAATAGAGAACTATTAGATTAAAATGACTGACAGGTCAAGGTTGGCCATAAGGCAGAAATATGAGAACTACTCAAAAAAAGATGGGCTTTTTTATGACTGGGGTAGGGAGCATCCTTACCTATCTTCTGTTAGCTTCATTAGGGTTGTTCCTCGAGTAGAGAAGACAATAAAGGACATTCTTAGCTGTGGGCTGGAAAGGAAAATAAATTCCGTTAGGGCAGACAGAAAGACTATGGAATGCCCTGCCTTTCCAGGCTTCCTCCTGCCCTTCCCTTTATATCGCCACTGCCAAAACTGAGGAACTGCAACCCAAGAGGCTTCCACAGTTGGTGTTGTAAGTATTTAGCCAGCAGCAAACTTGAAGCTATGGACTAAAGAGAAGACCCACATCATCTGCCTGGAAGAGGCTGCTTCTGATTGATACCACCATTCATTGGTTATAAGGAAGAAAGCTGAAATTCATCACTGCCTGTGCTGTGTTTCCCTAGAAGGGAAGAGGTCTGCATGGCATCTATAAAAACAGATCCCAACAGGCAAAATGTGGTAGTATCTCCACAGTCATCTGGTACACCCTATAAGGAAGAGACTGTCTCAGGCTGTTGTAGCTTTATCCCATCAGCCATTACGATCATACATGAATTCCTTTTACTCTGAAAGTTGGCTCACTATTAGCTTTTAATTTCTACTTGACTTCCCAAGGAGGTTATCCTATAAAGAGAATGTGCTAATGGGTCATAAAAGTATCTATTCCACTTGGTAGTTATACTTCTCATTATTGATGAATACATTGACATAGTTTTTATATAGCAGTACTTAGGAGCTTTGTCAATGTAAAATCCATGTTCTGGGAGTCAGAACAACTCTCAGCTAGGGACCAAACATACTTCTGTGTTTGCAGGATGAGCTGTGAGACTACAGTGGGTTCACCAGTGGAACACCATCCTGTGGGCCTCTCTCTGGGTAGGCAACTGGTTCATCCACCATATCACTGAACTTTTTCTTTATAATGCAATAACCTCCCAAACCTGATCTGGCCCCAACTCTTATAGTTCCCACTTCCTAAACATTTCTCAAACCTGTACCTCTTTTTCATCTCTTAGCTTAGGAACTTGCTCTCAATTAACTGACCGATTATTGCCTAGGGCTGATCTTGCCTGTCATCATTCCTTGTTCCTAAAATCTAAATCATAACTTTTCAATCATTTGTAATAAAGCCTCTAATGGCTCTTCTTCTTCCAGCATAAACTTTACATTCATCACCATACTGATATATTTAACACATCTTTGGAAACCCTTAGCAATGGTATTTAATACTTGGCAAGAGCCCAAGCAATACTCGATATAGTGAATATTGGTCTCTTGAAACAGACTTGAATTCTCTGTACATGACACCACATTGCCTGTTACTACCTCACCAGTGTTGGCCCAGCAGGATACCATATCCTAAATAATAATAATAACAATCCCACTAATCATGACCATACTTTTCAAGTGCTTACTGTGTGCCAGGCAACTACTGTAAGTGATTTGCCTATATTATCTCATTAAACTTAGAACAATTTTATGAGATCAGTACTATTATTATTCTTATTTTCCACAAAAGAAAATTGAGACCCTGAAAGATAAAAGACACACTGAGGGAGAGTGGTGGATCTGGGGCTTAAAACCAAACATTCTGATTCTAGAACTTGGACACTTAACCATCATGGTATACTGCCTCCCTTCTATGGAGTTCAGCTCTGGAAAGAATATATTTTAGCACTGGACAGTGTGGCTCAGTTGGTTGGGCATCATCCTGCAAAGTGAAAGGTCACTTGTCTGATTCCCGGTCAGGACACATGCTTAGGTTGTGGTTTGGTCCTTGGTCCACACATATATGAAAGGCAGCCAATCAATGTTTCCCTCCTTCTCTTTCTCCCTCCCTTACCGCTCTACAAAAAAAAAAAAGAATACATTTTAAATGTGGGAGATGTAGGTCTCCAAGATGCAGATGGTATATGAGTCTGGGATAGAGACATAATTTGAGAGTTTTGAGTAAAACTGTTCAAAGAACATATCAGCAGCAAGAAGAGATGTGAGCCAAATTTAAAACCAACATCAGCATTTAAAAGTCTGGGTTTAGTCTGTCAGATAAAAGGAGAACCAGAAGCCAGAGGGAGAGAGAATTTGAAAGAAACATAAATCTGATCAAATGAAACTCCTCTGTCCATCAGAAGAAGCAATGCAAGGTATCCACTGGCTTTGTCCTCTAGGACACCACTTAGTGACTTGCGTGAGAGCAAGCAGGGGGAGAGTGGGGATACAGCCAGATGGCAGTGGTTAAGGGATGAATAAGAAGTAAGAATATAGGGACAGCAAGTCTTTAGGGATATTTGAGTAAGAAACCAGTAAAGAAATAGGTTAGTATCTACAGGAAGACATGATCAAGAGATTTGTGGTTTCTCTTTTTTAGATAAGAGGCCAGAGAGATTAGTTTACATCTATCAACAAGTGGAAATGGAGCCAGAAGAAAGGTAGAGAAAAGGCAAGAAAGGAGGAGATTGGAAACAATGAGTTAAAATGGACTAAAATGCAGGGATTAGCCTGAAACAGGGAGAATACTTGAATCTCAGATGCGATGAGAAAGACACACATGCATCTTTTAAGAGTAGGATTGAAACTTGAGATAATCGGTTGCTTGCTATTCTCTAGGTTCTTGGTGAAAGAGGAACTGATGTTCCTTACTGAGAGTGATTGGTGTGAGGTGTAGGTTGGAGACTTAAAGAAAATTGTGAAGAGTTGGACTCACTATTAGGAAAATGAGAAGGGATCAGAATAAAGACAAATAATAAGACCTGAAGCTTCAAGGATCCCACTGAAATTAGAAATGATGTGCATTTACACTGATATCAGCCACTGTTATTGAATAAACTTCCCTCTGCAGTGTCAGCTGCCTAGACTACTTATTCAAATGCATAAATAAAAACCATTCATTCTTTTAAAAAATTATTCCCTTATTCAAAATTATTGACTGATCATGTACTGTATGTCAGGCACTGTTACAGGCACTTGGCTGCCAACTGTCCATAAAACACAGCCCCTCCTTCTTGGAGTTTGCATGACTGTCATGTCTTGGTGCCACACTTTGAGGGGGTTCATCACCAAGGAGGACCAAAGGAGGTAATCAGAGAAAAGTACCTCATGGTCTGGGTTAAGCCATGTCAACTACGCTGGCCCTCAGTTTCTTTATCTACAAAACGAGAGGTGGATTAAGTGATCTTAAAGGTCCTCAAACTTCTACTTCTAACTTTCTTTGATTCTAAGATAGCAATGTGTCTGGAATTGCTGAAGGAACTGGGAAAGAGAAGTGTTGAGTGCCCACTCTAAATCAGGTGCCGAGCTAGTTGTTTGCACATATTTTCTCTCATAATTTTTACATGCAAACTAGGGTTCAGCCAAGGTAAGTTAATTACTATGGTTGCACAATGGAGCTTAGATTCAAATCCACATCTGCCAAACTTCAAAGCTTTTCCCAGGAGATGCCTCTGCTTCAGGGGGAGCAGGAGACTAGAAGAGCAGAGACACAGCAGATACCGTCAAGTGCCTGAAGGCAGATTTGTTTTATATCACTCCAAAGGATCAATGGATAAAAATGCAAGAAAAGATATTTTGGCTCAATGACAAGACTTTTCTGGAAACTGGAACAGTCCAACTGTTGGACTATTTGCCTCAAAAGGCAGCAGTTTCTCACCAAAGCTATTCAAGTGTATATTCCGAGGAATGCCTCCTTGGATAGATAGTTTGGTAGGTTGTTCCTTTCAATTCTAAGCTCCCATGTTTCCCCTAAATATTTTGCTTTTAATTCCACCCATGTATCTGCCTCTTTCCTTTCTCCCTACTTTCCCCCAACTTCCCTTTCTCCTCTCAGCATCTGCTTTTCTCATTTATCTGGATTTAGATGCTTCCTGCTGCAGCTTCCAGTTTTTGATATCACAGAGAGGACACCTCCAGTCGGACGGTGGGTGCACGTTGGGGTCCGTGACTTTGGAGGAAACACATTTGTCATTACCCTGGTCTCAGAGGAGAATCTGTCATCTGAGACAAAAAGCTTTATTCAAAAAAGTATATAATTATCATATTAACTAGAAGCCTCAACAGAAGCCATCAGCAAGAGAGGAGCTTTCGAATTTATAATTGGAAACAATTTTACCAAAGACCTTGACAGTCAAGCACCTCCGTGAAAGCTATCAGTTGTTTATTCCTTAGAGGCTGCACCCAAGGATGGTGAAATGACCTCCTTTCCTTTACTAGTGGGTGTCTGTACTTACTGGAAGGTAGGACCTCCCAAGTCCCTGTAATGTCTGTAGCAATGATGTTCAAAACCGCCTTGTCCTGTCTGGTAAAGTGGTGTTGAGATGCTCAGAGAATTCTACGTGATAGAGCACATAGCTTGTTTGTCCAGAACTGAGGGGAGTTGAAAGGATGAACTGGTGAGACTTTGGGTGTTGCAAGTGGAAAAGTTCTGGGCAAACCTTTTTGCCCAGATGAACTGGTCACTTTACAAAACACCCTACTCAGGAGAGTCCCTAGAATGAGCCAGTTGCTCCAGCTTGATACATTGTGAAAGAGAATGCTAATATTTTTCCAGAAGAATATATTATTCAAAAAGAGAAGACAAAGTTAAAATTTTGGTCCTAAACCAAAAAGGGGTCCTCTTGAAAACATGAAGCCATAAGGCATTCTAATATGTGGCAAATAGAGACTCATCCAATATCTGAGCGTCTATTTTTGTCAAAATGCATCCCCAGAGTAGTTGGTAGTTTGTAGAATAGCAGATACAGGCTGGTTTTGCTCAGGGCAGAAAACTATGTATGTGTTTCTCACCTGATGAATTTATGAGCCAACTGTTCCACAAAGTAATAGATCTCATTCCAGTGGTGCAGCACACTTCCTGACCTAGGAAAACAAAAGCAGACATCACTTAATCAGGTGTTCATTGGTCTTTACCTTTTATCATTTCTCTTCATATTCCATTAACTGACACTTGACCTATTCATTAACTGGGCTCGTTCTTGTCTGAAACTTCCATAAACTTGGAAATTACTTGAAATGGTGTTTAGAGTTAATGTTAGAGTTCTTAAAATTTTTGTTAAAGAATCCTCTCTGCTCCACTTCCCATCCCTTCCTGCTCCCATGCCACACACTCACACACACAAAAACAAATGAACAAAAAGAAAACCCTGGGCTCAACCAGACTCACAGGTTAGATTCAAATCTTTAAGAAACTGTTGTTTTTTGTGTTACTTAAATTATTCCTTTGATAAGTGAAAAAAGCAACTCCAGTTCATTGAAATGAAATGAGCACAAATTAGATGTCCAAACAGACACAGATGAACAAATCCTCTTCCTCAAAACACAGTCCAATTTCATTTGCAAATATAGAGACAAAATCTCTAAAGAAAATATTAGCAAAATGAATCTAATAGGAATAAAAAAATAATGAATTAACTGGCAAAGGTTATTTCAGGAATGTACTGATAGTTCAACATGTAAGGAAATCTAATGTAATGAGTCATTCTAATAAATAAGAGAAGAAAACTACACAACCTTTTATTTATTAAAAAGGGAACCCCTTACTGGAAAAAGAAGGAAATATTCTCTAGAACACAAGGAATTACAGAATTTTAGATTTGGAAGGGACTTCTTTATTTCCCAAAGTTGACTTCTGTTTTACTGGTACTATTTATTACGGCTTCAATTTAGCTCATAAGCAGTATTTCCATAGTGCTCATACTCAGTCTGTTGCAGTGACTTTATAGTAGGTTTTTCTACTCTAACCCACTCTTTTCTGTAGCTGTGGTGCCTCTTTCTTTTCCTTAAGGATCTGTTTCAGCTTAGCTTTGCATTTCTGCCTGTCATTCTATTAATTGTTGAGGTTAGAGTTTGCTCCTTTTAGTCTGACATTTTCTACTGCAAACATTTTCCATGGGTTTCAGATTACCTTTATTTTTCATACACTCATTTACCTTAATTTTAACTTCTACAGAGTTATTTGCGGCTATTTTTTTTTGTTTCAGACTATTTTACAGATATTTAAGACAAATCTGTGCAAAGTAGATTTTATGCCTTCTTTTTCATGGTACAACATCCCTAAGAATTCTCACTGGGTGTATTCTCACTCTGTGAGGAGAATGTATTTTTCTCTGCCCCATACCTAGACAGATATGTCTGTTCAATTTGAACACAAATGATACAGCATGTCATGGTCATACAGTGAAAGACTCCATGTCATAACAATATCTCACTTTACCCAAGTTAATCTATAACTTCAATCCTAGGAAAAACTCGAATAGGATGTTTTAAGAAATTAAAAAACTTACTTTAAAAATAAAATGAAGATTGAAGGTCTAAAAGTCATTAGGGCAATTATGAAAGAGCAAAGCTGGAAGGCTTGCCTTAGCAGACATAATGGCCCTGTATGCATGACACATGACACAACAGCAGAACCAATGGGGTGAATTAGAAAACCTAGACCTCAACCTAGGTGAGATCTTGCTATATAGAGAAACAGGTGATTCAAATTGAGGAGGAAGAATAGATTCTTCAATAAATAATGCTGTGACAATGGATTTCTAATTGGAAAAAAGCTAATTTGATCACAGTCTCATACCAAATGTGACCCTGGGTTATTAATGCCTAATGGGAATGACAAAACTTAAATCCACTGGATCCACTGAATGAATTATAGATTTTTATGTTGTCAGGTTAGTGAAGGGTTTCTTCAACCAGATACAGAAAGTAGGAACTGTTTTCTTAGAAAGGATAATTTTGACTTCCCAAAGTATCTAAAATTCTGAATTACAAAATATACTATGAACAAGCTCAAAGACAACAAAAAGAGCAAAAGAAGATTTATCTGCAACAAATATAAAAGGCAAAAGATTAGTGTCCAGGATATATAAATAATTGGTACAAGTAAATATTAAAAAGATAAATAACAGAAAAGTAGACAAAGGATCAGATCAGGCAATCCCCTGAAGGATGGTAAAACAGTACATGAAATATCATTCAACCATTATAGTAAATGTAGAAATGCATATGGGATGGCAAAGGTGGGTTTACAGTTGTGAGTATACAAAACAGAGCTTATTCTTGTATTATTATTTATTACTTATTGTCTTATCATTTGCATTACAGCTGTAAACCTACTTTTGTCCACCCATCTCTTTAAACACTTGTTTGGGGAAGAGTAAGCAGTTTCATGCTGCAGCAGCACAGAGCCCACAGACTAGGGGGTGAGGAGTTGGAGATGGCAAAAAGGATTAGGGTGAGGCTTGTGATGGAGGCCCCTCCTGTCAAAAATAAACCTGTCCAATAAACCTTTTCCATTCCAGACTTTCTGCTTTTATACCATGCCATCTGTTTGAGATACTCTGTCCACACTGGCAAACTCCTACTTATTCTTTTAGACACAGCTCAGTGTTTGCCTGTTGCTTTGACAACAAAGATGGGGCTCACTGTCCCTGACCCACACTCTTGGGACACCGTGTATGTCTCTTAGTCATCATCCTGTGATATTAAGTTGCAATCACTTTTTTGTCAAGCTCCCCTTGTGAGGGTCTTGAGGGTATTTTCCTCTCCAGCCTTTACCTGTTTGTTGAGTAGAAAAAAGAAGAGCTTGGAGAGACATCCAGTCAAGATAGCAGCATAAGTAAACACGACTCACCTCCTCGCACAACCACATCAAAATTACAACAAAACTATGGAACAACCTTCACTCAGAGCTATCAGAATCAAGTTGAATGGAAGTCTGACAACTATGGAATTAAAGAAACCACACGCATCCAGATTGCTGGGAGGGGTGAAGATGTGATTGGACTGGTCTCACATCCACACGTGGTAGATAAAAATTCAGGAGGGTTATCTTAAGAGTGAAGAATCACAGCTCAACCCAGAGTTCTAATGCCAGAAAGGTAAGTCCCCATAACTTCTGGCTACAAAAAAAAACAGTGGGGATTAAGTCAGTGGGAGAAACTGCTGCAGTCCAAAGGAGTTCCTCTTAAAGAACCCACACATGGACTTATTCAGACTCAATCCCTCTAAACTCCAAAACTGCTGTAGAATCCTGAAAGTCACCAGTGTCTTATGGGGAGGAACTGAAGTGTCTGGCATCAAAGTAAGACTGGGGAACAGCTTTCTACCAGACAGAAAAGCAGACAATGGCCATTGTCCCTCTTCTGAACCCTCCTCCTACAGAGCCAAAAAGCCAGAGGAGGTTACCATATCTGAAACTCCATCAACCTGGCTAACAATATTTGCTCTGCCCTGGAGATCCCCTGAAGCTCTGCCCCATACAACTTAAGGATCCACCCAGGCTTTTAATAGTGACTATTCCGCATGAATGGCTGGTCTTGGCTCATGCTTCATAGCTTCCTAAATCTTATCAAACAAGCAATGGTTGGCCCCAGTGAGCCCCTAGCCCCCATACTTCTTGCTAAGTGGCCCTAGGCCCAGCATGAGCATCAGCCAGCCTATGTTCACAACTTGGCTTTGTCTGGGAATCTCTAAGCTCAGTATAAGTAGCAGCCATCTGCAGATTGCTTTATAGCTCACGCAGGGTGGCCCCGGGCAGAACACAGGTATGGGATTACCTTGGCCTGTACTACTGGGAAATCCCAGAGTCAGTGCACCTAGTGGACAGCTACAGACCAGTTGGAGCACCACCACCCTGCCCCAGCATAGCTGATCCTCCACAGAAGGAGAAGGTTGGTGGGTGGTGGTCACAGCCAGTCCTTGAAGCTGATTGGCCTGGGTAAATCCCTCCCATTGACCTGCCAACAGTAATCAAGCCTCAACTACAAGAGGAGGGCGTACTCAACCCACAAAAGGACACACCAGCTTGGGTGATAGGGGAGGCTGTGAGGCTGTGCCATTGGACCCTACAGGACACCTACTACATTAGGTCATACTATCAAGATAGGGAGTCATAGCAGCTCTACCTAAGGCATAGAAACAAACACAGGAAGGCTGCCAAAATGAGGAGACAAAGAAACATGGCCCAAATCAAAGGAAAGATCAAAACTCCAGAAAAAGAACTAAACAAAATGGAGATAAGCACTCTATCAAATGCAGAGTTCAAAACACTGGCTATAAGGAAGCTCAAGGACCTTAGTGAGGACCTCAATAGAATATAAAAAATCCAGTCAGAAATGAAGGATATGCTAATTGAAACAAAGAGCAATTTACAGGGAAACAACAGTAAAATGGATAAAGCCAAGAATCAAATCAATGATTTGGAACATAAGGAAGCAAAAAACAACAAGAAAGCAATCAGAACAAGAAGAAAAACCAATACAAAAAATTGAGGATAGTATAAGCAGGCTCTAGGACAACTTCAAGCATTCCAACATTCACATAATGGGGGTGACAGAAGAAGAGAAAGAGCAAGAAATTTGAAATCTATTTGAAAAAATAATGAAAGAAAACTTTCCTAATTTGGTGAAGGAAATAGACATGCAAATCCAGGAAGCACAGAGAGTCCCAAACAAGATGGACACAAAGAGGTCCACTCTAAGACACATCATGATTAAAAGGCCAAAGGTTAAAGATAAAGAAAGAATCTTAAAAGCAAGAGAAAAGAAGTTAGTTACCTATAGGGGAGTTACCATGAGACTGTCAGTTGATTTCTCAAAAGAAACTTTGCAGGCTATGAGACTGGCAAGAAATATTTAAAGTCATGAAAAGCGGGGACCTAAAGCCAAGATTTCTCTACCCAGCAAAGCTATCATTTAGAATCAAAGAGCAGATAAAGAGCTTCTCCATACAAAAAAAAAAAAACAACTAAAGGAGCTCATAATTGCTAAACTATTATTATATGAAATGTTAAAGGGACTTATTTAAGGAAAAGGTTGCCAGGTGGGAAAGATATGTTAGGAAATGGGTGAAGAGGTGAAGGG